CACATACTGTTGAAGTTAAATGTAGGAAAAATTTCTTAATAATGCATTAATTGGTCATGTTATAATTGAGGGTAAAACACTCAGATTCATGAAAATGGAAGATATGGATTTATTTATAAAGTTGATTGTGGTGAGTCTGGGGCTGGGGATCCAGTTCAGTTGATAGAGGATTTGCCTAGCAAGCAGGAGCCCCTGGGATTCGGTGGAGTACCTCATGTTCTCATCCTACAATAGGGCAGCTTCAGGCAAGACAGTCAGAACTTTATGATCATCCTTGGCTACATGGGATGCATATCATGTCTCAAAAACAAAGTAGCAAAAGTGATGGATTATTAAACTGTGTGGATTATTAAATGTCCCTAGAAAAAGTGTAGCTTCCAATAATAATGATGGTATATAAACTGCTATAGAAAGTAGAACAAATAGACATCTAATATGTTTAACACTAAATCTTGATGCTAATTCCAACTACCTCAGTTTCATCAAAATGTGCTCCATTAGCCCTGCTAATACAGGGATAAGCCAACTGGTGGTCTATTAGTATTTTTATGTAGTTGTATATAACCTAATACATTTAACTTAGTTAAAACGAGGAGTACTTTGGTGAGAAGAACTTATTTGTTAGTAGGAGGGTATTTAAATACATCGTGGCACAAAGAAAACGCAAACACTAGGAAGCAACGTTTTAAGTCTTAGCTACCAGGCTTACCGCTTAAACAAGCCTGATTTGGGGCAGGGATTAAAGCAAATTTATTAGTTTCACTTATTAGCTTCACAAATTCCATCTGTTGGATTGAGGTCACTTCAATTAGTTGGCTCTTTCTCTTGTCCTTTCAAAGTGTGAGAAGTTATTATTAGACACCAGCCTAGTTTACTCTGTTTTGAGCACAGACCCTGTAGGACTTTAATCATTGAATAAATGAAACATTAATGGTGGTTTCACCATTAGGATGTCCTGATAGGACCCAAAGGTGGTGAACTCTATTTTCAATACAGGCCCTAAAAATAGGAATGTACTTTTCTCCCTAGGGTACGTTGGTCTATTTTAAAAATATTTTGGATCAATAATTGATAAGCTAATTACTTTGGCTTATTAGCCTAAGAATATTTAGAGGTAATTCTATTTTTCTTAGTCCCCTAAGCTGCTGCTCCATTGAGAGAGTCTGTTGATCATTTTAGGAGAGTAATAACAGTGGATTAAATCAAAGCTGCACAGGCTTTTCTTGGGTATTTTTTCCCAGCCTCTTAGTAGGGAATTAATTTCAGGTTGGAATGACACAGTTAACTAGTCATTTTGTTTCTAATTAAGGAACAAACCATAATTCTTCTTTGCATCGTGAGGCTATTTCAGCCACTAAACATGTGTCACTGCATAGATCTTGCAAGAGGTGTGTTTTTGATGGTTCTTGCCTGGCACATTTTTAATAGTCTTTTCATCTTTCCCTATCTGCATAACAGTGTGGGGTTAACAATAAAATTGAAGTTTGAGTGCCAAGTTCATCTATACAGCTATTTACTATTAATGCTTATTTATTTCCATGTACACTTAGGTACAGAATAATTTATTTTGACTAGTAGTAGCAGTGTTTGTTGAAAATAATTCAGTTATATTCCTTAGGAGATCAGTGTTCATTTTCAATTGCCCATAAACAAAATATTCTCTTCATTTCTAGAATATCAGAAACCATTAAAGGTACATACCTACAGTTCTGTAATGCCATTGCAACTTCGGGGCTACTCCTGATGTCAGTCATTAGCACCCGAAACTGCTTAATGACTCATCTATCTCCCTCCCTCCCTCCCTCCCTCCCTCCCTCCCTCTCTCTCTCTCTCTCTCTCTCTATCTCTATCTCTATCTCTATCTCTATCTCTCTCTCTCTCCTCTTCCACTCTGGAAAAACCACTGCTCCTTGTTTGCTATCAGGGCACCGCAAGGTCTCTGTTGGCTTTTTTAACATCTGAAGGTGTTCTAGGCTTCCATGATTTCCGGTACCCACCACAGCTCCTCATAAGCGCTTAGGGCACTAAGCACCAGACCTGGAGCCAGTGGCTTGGGTCCTGCGGTCTTTGCTGCATTTTGTCGGCATGAGAGATCCTGATGAGCCGAGCGCCACGCGCCGTTCCCTGTGGTCGTTCGTTTTTTTTTTTTTTTTGCTTCCCTGGGTGCAAGGGATCAGGGTGGGCCAGGCGCGCGCCCTGTGGTCGGTTGTTACCACCCTGGGCGCAAAGGCCCACCTTTCCCTTTCAGCACAAATGTCTGTTTGTACTGGGGCAGTGCTGTTGTCTGGAGAGTTCACTGGCTTCTTCCAAAGAGGTCTAGGAGACTCGAATTTACAACTTTCTCAGGCAAATAGATTCTCACCTTACAGCCTGCCTCCTCAAAGCCAAGCCACCCAGTAAGCCAAGCTCCAACAGTCTCAGCAGGTACACCTCTAAGCGGGGAGCAGGTGGGAGGTGCTGCCTTCCGGAACTATAAAGGTGCGCATCAGGCGCTTCGGCAAGAGCATCTTTGCTGATGAGTTGTGATGCACAACTGCCCACCAGTGCAGCTGGTTCCTCCCGCTGCTGAATGAAGCGCAATTTCCTGTTTTCCCAAAAATGGCCCCTCCGGACCCCGCCACTTTTTGTGCACAGTATTTTAGGCTTGAAATGAATAAATTAATCTGGAGAAGTAAAATCACTCCAAGTCTGTTATAACGGTGGGAAATGACAAGCCAATGAACAGTGATATGAAAGCCACTTCCTTGGCTGTTAAAAGGAGGGTTACAACTTTTGTATTTATTGGAACTTTATAGATGCATTTGTCAGGGCCTGTTTCTGATCACCCAGTAAGTGCTGTGGCCTTTCTCTTACTCATCTCTTCAAGTAATCCGCAGGTTTGCCCCACCGCTTGTTACCATAACGAAGTTGGTGTGTGTGTGTGTGTGTGTGTGTGTGTGTGTGTGTGTGTGTGTGTGTCTGTGTCTGTGTGTCTGTGTGTGTGTGTCTGTCTGTCTGTCTGAAGCACGCTGCCATATTTAAGACCCTTTCTTGTTTCTCAAGGGTATTTGTTCAGCAGCTGGATCTCTGCCAGTCAGACGCTGTTTTCCATTGGTTGATTCCCATCACTTTGTGTATGTTTCCTGAGGTGAGTGTAACAAGGTAGGGTTGCCTTTGTGGCTTGCAATGGAAGTTTATTGCCCCCAGTTCTGGGGCTAGAAGCTCAAAAGTCAAGGAGGTTCCAGGGCAGGTTCCTTCTGGAGAGTCTTAGGGAGACCGGATATGTACTGCTCTGCTCACATCTGCTGCTCGTTTGCAATCATCACTGTCCTTTGTCTTGTACACACGTCACTCCAGTGTCTGCACCACATCCAGGGACACTCTTTTCTGTGTGCCTGTGTCCTCTAAGACCCTGAGTTGAGGCCTGTTCTGGTCTAACACGAATCCAACCTGATGACATCTGCAAAGAGACCTTGATTGCAAACATGGTCACATTTACAGGTTCTGAATATATTTGGATAAGAGCACATTTCAACCCATAACAACATGTGAACTTTGACTTTTTCTCGTTAGGAAACTCCCCTTGATCACATTTCCTCTAATAATACAGCATTTAGTCCCTAGCAGAGCTAAATTTCTCTAGTGTTCTTATATTCATACTCCTTCTGCTTCCTCTCTGATAGCTCTCTAGGAGATTTAAGCCAAGTAGGGACTGGAGTCTTTCATGTTCCAGACACCGGACTTTCACGTGTTGTTCACACATATTTGAAATGCATATCCCGTCTCTGGGTGTGCACACAGAAATTTTTTATAAGGTGTCTCTTAGACCTTCTACTAGAAATGTCTTCTGTTGGCTAAAGTACTAATTAAAGCTCACAAGTAAAACTATTTCATTTTTTATTTGTTTATTTTTTTATATTCTGACCACAGTTTCTCTTCTGCTCTCCTCCCAGTGCCCCCCCCCATACACACAATCTCCCCTCTGCCCCATCCATCCACCTCTCCTCTATTTCTATTCAGAAAAGGGCAGGCCTTTTTAAATCCACAATTATATCAATAAGTATTTACTGCTTGCATTAGAAATCATGCCCAACATATTTAGGAACTGGGTCTGTAAAACCTTTATTAAAATGGTTTATTTTATGCCATTACTAATGTTTTAATGAAAATAGGTGTTTTTTTTTCATACAATATATTCTGATTGTGGTTTCCCCTCTCCTAACTCCTCCCAGATTCTCCTACCTCCCACCTCGCCAAATCCACATCACCTCTTGCTCTCTTTCATTAGCAAGAAAATAGGCCCCTAAAAAAGTAAAACAAAAAATAGAATAATATAAAATAAGCAAAATAAGACAAAACAAACAAACAAGAAAAAGAGGCTAAGTAAAAGCACTAGAAAAACATAGATGCAGAAACAGACACATTCACACTCAGAGAAATCCCATAAAAACACAAACCTGGAAACATGGTATATACTCAAAGGACCTATAAGAGAAAAAAAAAAAAGAGAAAAAGCCCTAACAAAATATTCAAAGAGCCTCCAAAAATGCCATTGAGTTCTTCCTGTGTTGGCCACCTCCTGCAGGCATTGGGCCTGCCCTGGAGAAAGTGAGACTCTGTAAGAGGAAACTAACTTTTCATTTGTGAGCAATTATCAATTGGAGAGACTTGTGGATTTGTGATGGGGGCTCCTGTCCACTTCCCCTGTCAGCACTGGGTCCTGTCTAGCACAGACCCACGCAGGCTTGTGCATGCTGCCTCAGTCGGTATGAGTTCATGCGTGTGTCAGTCCTGCTGTGTTTAGAAAACCTTGTTTTCTTGGTGTCCTCTGTCCCCCAGGATCTGAAAATCTTTCGGCTTCCTCTTCCCTAGGATTCCCTGAGCCCTGAGGGGAGGGGTTTGAATGAGACATCCAATTAGGGATGAATGTTCCAGGCTCTCTCACTCTCTGCACATTGTCCAGCTGAATGCCATTACTAACTTTTATTAATTTGTGTTCTGGTCGATAAGATAGTTTGCTATGTTCGCTGATGTTGATATTTGACATTCATATGCAAACAAGATACAATGAACTTTTTCTGTTTCTAGCAAATTAAAAAAAAATGTTATCAAGCTCTTAAAAATACATTGAATGACCCTCTTAACATTGTGTCTATTCCTATGCAGTCTGTAGACTCCAGCCCCTCCCATCCCCCACCCCCCCACCCCACTTTAAAAACCCTGCCCCATTGCTACTCTGGGTCTCTCCTGCTCTGCTGCAGCATCAGACGGATGGAGAGCCCCAAGTTAACTCATAATAGTAAAAAGACTCTTTGCTTTTGCATTGGATTCTGTCTCTTGGTGGTTTGGGGGTCTCTTGGTTTTTCTGGGTACAACAAAATGACTAGGAACAAAGAACCAAAATCCAACAAATCTAGTCCTGGAGCTGGCACTGTCCACCCAGCATTATTTACAGCTCCCAAGCCAAAGCCACCTTGTCACCTGGGATTTTATTGTCAAATTCGGGTGTGGCTGAAGGTGATGGGATAATCTAATTACTTACATTACTCTCTGTATCAGTCTGCCATACATCCAGCTTTCCATATTGCCTCCACAGCAAGATGAACACTGGTTAAGACATTGCCAATTGAAACTGTACTCTTCTGAAGTCCCTCTGCAGTGGGAGGCAATCGAAGTGTACATCTAAGGTAGCACTGGTTTTGAGGTGTTTACTTCACAAGTCAATGGACATATCTCCTTACTTGACTCTGTGATGTTGATCCTGACAGTAACAGAGCCCAGCTCCCTTCTCAAAGGGATCTACCTTCACAAGTTGTGTTTATTTGCTCCAGTCCTTCATTATGTTTGGGCATGTCCTGAAGTGAGCCTTTCTGATTAGATTTTGTTGCTCTAATTCTTCCTTGAAGGCATCCAGATCCTCAAGAGCAAAGCGCATTCACATCAAGCCGACACGGCACACAATACAGGCCTGGACTCCAAGATGATGAGAACATGAGGGGATAACGGATCTTGCAGCACCACCGTAAGTGGTATTTCTTGGTAAAAGAATGGCTTTTGGTTGCATGGAGTCCTCCTGCTCTTCTGAGTTGTACTGGAGCCTAAGTCCAAAGGCTCAGTGTTAAACAAAGTGTTGCTTTCTTGGGTTTCTCCAGCTGCCCTGCAGGCAAGCGAATTCCAGTGAGCTCTTGGTGATTTTTTTTTTTTTAAATCTTCCTATTTAAGGTGAGCAGAGATGCCAGGTTCGTACCTCACACCCAATTATTTTGCCGACTTGGATTCCAAGGGGGGAAATCCTGAATTGGATCCTTCTGATCACTCCCATTCTGGATTGAGATCCATTAGATCCCCTAGGAGCTGGTAAATGGAGCTCAGGGAAGCTGGAGCTCAGATGAGTGGGGAAGTCACATGGAGATGGCCCGAGAGCTGGTGATCCTAGTTGATAAATCTCTTAGTATGATGTTAAGAGGAGAGGATCAACTGTTATCTACTAAGGGTCGAAGAGCTAAATCGAGAATGAAAGTCTCAGCCTTGTCTTCCTGGGAGTGCTTTGGGAGCTGGGGAAGGACACACTTTGGACTGCAGAGTTAGGACTCCAGTGGAGAGGGAAAGAAGCTTGCTTGGGAATGGGAAAGAGGAGGGCTTGCAGAGCGGCAGTGGGAACTCCCTGTTTCCTGGCTGGAGCAGTGGCGGGAGAGAACTCCCAGCTGCTACAGTTCCACGTGGGCATGAGTGCCCGGAAAATGCTGAGGCTAGGAAGCTGGTTGGGATTTGAGCTGATCATCTGTCTGTGGCCACTCTCCTGAATTTGAAAAGAGCCCAATTTAGAGCACCAAGCTGAGATGAACCATACTGTACCTGGCTATCCTTGCTAGCCAGGCCTGGACCCCTGATGATGAGGGGTGACCACCACATTCCTAGTTTGGGGCTTCCCAGCCCTGAGAACTACTCAGCCCACACAGGCCACTCCCACCATAGCCTCCACTTGGGCCTACTCTTTCAGCACTTACTCTGACTGAGGTGGTGGTGACACTAGTCTATGTGTGGTAAATGTCAGGCCACAAAGCCAAGTTATTATACCTTAATTTTGCCGTGTATCCACAGTCTCCATGATCTGGCATGTTTTCACATTTTGGGGGGAGGAGATACTGTTCTGAGTCTTAAGCAGATTTCAGAGAAGAAAGAGGCACAAGAATGAAATTGCAGGCCTGTCTAGTCAGTATTTCCTTACCACAGTGTAGCTTTGGGAATAGTGGTACATACTGACATGACTTATAGGGAAAATAAGAACAGAATTGTAGTTCCTCTGAGAACATTGTCTTCTTGTTGCCTCTGCAGCCTTCTTTCTTCCTAGATCTCCCATATACAAGTCAGACTTGGTTCATTTTCCAAAACTTCTCTGGCTTATTGTCAGGATCTCCCCTCTATTTTATAATTTATAGATTGACAGTCTCTGGAGTAATTGATAATCCTGTTGCAATTTCAGATCTGAAATACTTTCATTTACTTCATAACTCACTCATACAAAATGCTATAAATTTTAAAGACAAATAGATGATAACACTTGGAACAAATAGTAAAGAAAAGAAGCAAGATGTACAGAAAAATTGGTCTTTATTGAAATTCCAACTATAACACTCTCTAGCTTTTTGAGTTGTCCTATGATCAAGTTCTCTGAGATCAGTTTAATCACATGCAAAACGGGAATGATGGTGTATGTAAAGAGTGCATTTTAGCTTAATAATGGGTCTTTCACTGTTAGGTTGCTGTTCTTGAGTTTAAATATTTCCATTGTTTTATTTAACTTGCCATTAAAAATAGCCAAACATATAATGGCAGCTCCTCCTGGAATAGGTTTGGTGTATGGTTCAGTTATTTTGGCATTTCTATAACAAATTACCTGACATGAGTACCAGTAAAAGGAATGACCTACTTGGCTCACAGATTCAGAGGGTTCAACCCATAGTCACTTGGCTCTATGCTTCTGAATCTATAAAAAGCAAAAGTTTATGATGGGAAACGAGGAGGATGAGGCTGGTCACACTGGTGACCAGAAGCAGAAAACAGGAAATTGAGGACCAGGTGTAAACCTTCAAAGTTAGAATTCACTTATCAACATCCTTCAGCTAGGCCACACCTCCTAAAGTTTCTGCCACCTCACAAAATAATACCATCATTTGGGAAACAAATACCCAGTACATGAGCCTGTACAGAACTGTTCACAATCACATGATAACAATGTAATCTTAGCAGAATGCTACAGTACCATAATGATAAAACATGCCTAGTATATATGAGTTTCATTAGAAGAACTTAGTTTTCTTGGTTAATTAAATGAATGGTGTGGGGTTTTTCTTTGAATCTCTTAATGTTTTGTTCACAGGGAGGTACTGAATTTTTCGCATGTAGTTTGGAAGCTAAATCAGTCACAAAAATGAAACGGGCAAAGCATCTATCAACCACTAGTAAGAAATTGACAAGTGTTCCAGAATTACCTTTCAAAAAGGGACTACTTAATTCATCACCTAAGCTGAAAGAAAAACGTAATACCAAGCCACTACATGATAAAACCGAACCAATGGTCCTAAGGTCTCCACCCACAGGAGAATCAATTGTACGGTATGCCTTGCCAATACCATCGAGTAAGACCAAGGACTTAATAGCAGAAGATGAAATGGTCAGGAGGATTGCCAAGCACCTGAAGACGGTAAGATGGTTGTTGTGTCTCCTATTGAGGTAATTCCCAAGAGGGTCACTAGCTGGGGGATTTGCTGTTGTGTAGCAGGAGAATCCGCTGCAGCTGTGCTGGACTCCCCATACATCGTTATACCATTGATAAGATTTATTACATCCTGCATGTGGAGGATGTAACTAGAAGGAAAGCAGGGCCAAGGCTCTGAATGCTCTCTGAAGTCGTATGAGCCATGCTTAGTTCCTCCAGCAATGAATCATGATGACTCAAGGAGAATGGGTGCCCGAAGATGTAATTGGAAACTCGGGGCTCAGAGGGCTGAGAACCTCAAGTGTGCTCTGTCAAGCATGTATTAGAATTCCAGAATCCCAAGGAAAGCCGTTCAGCATAAAGCACACTGTCTGGGATAAAGAGCATTCTTTCTAGCTTCCTGAAAACAAAATTCCTAACTGCCAGGCTAAGGCTGTCTTTGCAAGCAGGGCTTTGTGGGTATAGGCATCTTGAAATCTCATGCCAGCTGTGGTAACTCTGGTCCGCACTTCAGGAATTATAGCACTTAATATTTCTAAGTTTCTTGGTATGTAATGATCGACAGTCAAATTGTAAATAGGCTTTTAAATGAGAACAAGGAGGGAAGACACCAATATAAAAATTACAGTTCATCATGCATCTAAGACTCCTGGTCAGTTTGTTAACTCAGAGAATGTCTTTTCAGGTTTATTGCTTTCTACTCTTTACTCTTTTCTTTTTTAATGCCTTATTCTGAGGAAAATGAGACTTTGACGAAAACTCTGCTTTCTTCAGCTATTTGCAGGCACGTCTTTTTCTTTTAGTACTTCTTCACATAGAGAAGAAAGGGTTTGGGGGTGTCCCATGGCTAGGAAGCAGGATTAAGCACTGTTGAGCTGGCATGTTCTTAATGACGCGTGATGAGTCAAGGGGCAGAAAGTCGACCTTCCTGCCTCTGGCAGTAAAATGACATCTATTCAATCACAGTGTGATTGTTTGACCATTTTGCCAATGACAAATTCAACTTGGTTTGTGTTTTTCTAAGGTGGTAACTGCTTTGGAAGACACATATGGAGCTGTCGATGAAGACGGGGAAAGAACACCCATGAAACCTAAAGCGGATGGCGTGTCTTTATCTGTATGTGTACATAACGCTAATGAAAGAAATTCAATGCTGGAAGCGCTTAACCCTTGCCTTTGGAGTAAACACACACTGTCCAAATGAACCCCTAGCCATACAAAGATCCTCTTGTGACACTTGGCAGAAGTGTGTTAACGTTTTCAGCCTCTGCCAACTCCTGTCTTAACTATCTGTAGTCTGTTTTTACAATCTTGCCTCTGTGTTGAGTTTTAAATATGAGCTTAGCTACTTTGCTTGAATTGGCTATAAAAAAGTATTCTTGCACCAGCAAAATGGGTCAGTGGGTAAAAGTGCCTGCCACCAAGCCTGACAAACGTGAGTTCAATCCTTAAGACCTACATGGTGGAGGGAGAGGGCCAACCCTTGCGAGTTATACTCTGACCTCTACAGGTATACTTTTACAGGCAAACATGAGCCCCCCTCCCCAACCTCCCACATACAGACAAGTAATAAAATGTAATTTAAAAACATACTCTCTTTTCTAGCCTTTAAAGTGGAAAAAAAAGGAAGATATTTGAGGCTTAGCAAATATCTTTCTTGTACATACTACTGAAATGTAACTATTAACATAACAGCATGTTCTCATTCAGTGGGTTGTTTTTGTTTTGTTTTGTTTTCATTTTTTGCGTGTTTTAACTTTTTAAGGTGTCTTTTAAATTGTATTTATGTGTGTATGTGCCTTTCTGTATGTGTAAATGTGCACATGTGTGGTGGTGCTTGCAGATTCCAGAAAAGGACATTGGAGCTAAAGTGTCAGGAGGTTGTGAACCACCCAAGTAGTTTTCTGAGAACTGAATTCTGGTCTTTTACAAGCGCACCAGGCACTCTGAACTGCTGAGCCATCTTGCTGGCCCTGTTTTACATACGTTTGACTCAACCATACATTCGCACTGGCATTTTTTTAACTTTATATATTGCTGTTCTGTGTGGTTGTGTTATAGACGCACTGAGTGGGGGCGAGCACCCCATGGTCAGTTGTTCCTTGCATTCTGGACAGTTGTGAGTTTGTGTGGTGGCCCCCTGTCTGCTACAAAAAGAAGCTTCTTGGATGAGGGGTGAGAGCTTCATCTCTGTGTGTGTAAGGACATGCATTAGAATGCAGTTAGACATTATAGTGGTTTAGGAAAGTGACAGTCGGTCATTCTCCTCTAGGGTCCATGGCATCACCAGCCACAGGGAGTTATATAGCTTTACAGTGCTTGGCATGGGTTCTGCTCTGTGGTGACATTTTATTTGTGCTGAACTGTGGTGACATTTTATTTGTGCTTTAATAAATAAAGCTTGCCTGGAGACCAGAGGAAATAGCAAGCCATTTTAAGTAAACCAAGAAGTCAGGCAGTGGCAGCACCCACCCTTCATCCTATCACTTAGCAGGCAGGATCTCTGTGTTCAAGGCCACACTAGGAAACAGTACATGCCTTTAATCCCAGTACCAACCATAGAGGTCTGGAGGTCTGTACAGCCCGACAGGAACTGACAGAGCTGGGCAGGAAGAGGAAGTGATGTAGCTGGTCTAAGAGAACCAATGAGAGAACCGAACAGAAAAGGCATTTAAGCCTGGATAGACAGGAAGTTGCTGGCAGAGGAAGCTGAGGAAGTGAGGTAAGGTTGGCTGGTGGCTTGTCCTACCCTCTGATCTCTGTCTCAGGCTTTATCCAATTTCTGGCTCCATGTTTTTTTTATTTAATAAAACCATTTAGAAATTCATCTACACTGATCTACTTATCAGACCTAAAGTCCAAATATATGGCTTTGGGTTACCCCAAGATACAAATACCACTGCTGCTCCTTTCAGGAAATCTGACTATTTTGATCATTGTTGTAAGACTGGAAATTTTTAACTGTCAGCAGCAGCAGCAGTAGTGATAGCTGTATGTTATCCCAACAAAAAAGAACTTCTGTTAGTATAAAAGAAAGAATCAATGTGTGATATCCAACAAGTAGTATGCATGTAGTAATCAGCTTCTCTCACATCCATTGTCATAATTCTTGATGATTTCCTTATCTGTGTAGAAGAACGGTCCGTGTAATATGTTGCTCCATGTCACTGAATTTTATTACTCCACTAATAGTCTTCTATTCCATCTGATGACAAGGTGTCAGTCACTGAACTTATTTCAGGGACCCTGACCTCTGGCTGTCACCTTCTTTGTTTCCCTGTAGTCTGTTTAGTATTATGAGAGAAGTTCCTCAGTTTCCCTAGGACCTAAAGGCCACTGGCCCTGTCAATTTTGTGTCCCAAATTATCCTTGTGTCCTTTCTCAGCCAGCTAAAGTCACACAGTACACAAGTTATTATTATCACTCCTCAGCATATCTGCTGAACTCTCTTGTCTTCTTCTGCCTGGTGCTCTTATTTGGGTAAACGACAAACCTTGTCAAATTGGTCTCTGTTTTGTGGCAGTTAAGAGTGATGGAATGAACTGTCTTTATATTTGTGACTGGTAACTCTTCTCTAGTCCATTTTCCTCCTCTCCTTGATGATTCTCCCAATGTTTTTTTTTTGGGGGGGGAGAGGTGTTTGTTTTTTGCTTTGTTTTGTTTTTGTTGTTGTTGTTTGGTACTAAGGATTGAACTCATGGCCTAAAGTATGGTTGAGCAACACTCTACCACTTCTTTAAATTTTTGAGGGCTGGCAACATGATCAGTGAGTCAAGGTGCTTGCCACCAAGCCTGCGGACCTGAGTTCAATCCTTATAACTCATATGGAGACCAACTCCTGCTCTCAGACCTCCACACGTGTAGTATGACATACACGCACACAGGTACATGCACACATACACAAGTGTACCTTAAAATTTTGAGACAAGGCCTCACTAAGTTCCCTTGAATACCCTCTGTAGCCTAAGCTGACCTGAGACTTGGACTCTACTGCCTAAGCCTTTCAAGTGCTGGAATAATATGCATGTCTCATCCATTTTGTTCCTATGGAGTATGGTAGGAGTGTAATGTTCAGTGGATATCTTCTTCTGTGAGAATCTCAGCTGGGACTAAGCGTTTAAGGTTGATTTAACATGGGTTAGTTTTCTGACATGTAATTATCTACTGGATAATATTTAATCATTGTATTGGTGGTTGGCTACTAATAGGTTACACTGAAAGACTGCAGATTTTGGCAAGCATACTTATAATCAATAGTTGTAGTTTACATTCTTTTCTATTTTTGTGATGCTGGGACTAGAAGCCATGGCCTTGGGTTTGCTGAACAAGTGTTCTACCACTGATCAACAGCCACAGTCCTAATTTAATTTTCTAACATGTATAATTATATACACACAGTAGTTATTTTCTTCAGACAATCCAAAAATCAGGAGTATAAGGATGGGCTGCCTGAGTTTCTGCAGTTGTATAGATGAAAGTAGGAAAACATTTTGTTATAGGATATTTGATTGCACTGTGAAACTTTGAGACCATGTTAATAAAATTAACCTTGGAACAGGAGGCAGAACCAGCAATTAGTTGACAAGAATTAGCCATGGAAAGTATGGAGAATCCAGGACTACAGATAGAGAGATGCATAGGAAGGAGGAGGGAAGGATTTAAGAGATTCACAGTCTTTTTGGCTTAGGATGAATGGAGAGACACTTCTCTTGCTGGGTCTCTGGCCAAAAAGGAAGGTCAGCTGGTTGCTTCTTGGCTTCCCTGATCTATTAGGTTTTAACCTTAACATCTGACTCCCAGGTTTTTTTTGATGAATAGAATGATAGAGACTTAGTTAAAACCTACATTTGGCAGCCACAACTGCAGCCTAGCTGGTGCTGATGGGACCAGAAATCCAGCAGCCGGGTACTGACTGTGGGGTCATTACCCTCAGATAGTAGTTAAAATATCAGTAGATTCAGGTGTGTCCACTAAGCCAACAGAAAAACAACATATTGTATGTATGTATGTATCACTCCCCAGGATGTACTTTCTTTCATATTTCATTTTTAGGAGGGTTTTCTGGATAACATTTGAAACATAGTTTCTTGCCACCCATGTTTGAAGGGATGGAAATTACACAAAATTAAAACACATTCAAAACAAAGTTAAATATATTAAGAAGTAAGTGGATATGCAGGTGGGTTCTAAAATTGAAAGTGACTCTGTTTTGTGGTTCTTTCTGGAAGGTTGGCGATGATATGAATTCGTTCTTGTTGTGCTGCTCACAATTTGCAGCTCAGTTGGAGGAAGCAGTTAAGGAAGAACGTAACGTATGTATTCCAAGTCAAGTGCCCCGTGTAAATTATGAGAACTTATATTGGTTGTAGAAACAGATGTGATATGCAGTCAGCCATATTAGTCTAGAATCAATCTTTTGGAAAATTGCAAGGGTCATTAAAATTTTTTATTTTAGATTTCTTTATTCTCAATGTAGGCATCAATATCTGTGAATTTTTCTTTCAAGTATCAATATAGTCATACATACTTTCAAATGTAATTTCTATATTTTTATTTTCATTTTAAAAATAAGTTTGCATTATCAAAATCATGTTCTAATTAATGTTAATTAAAAATCAAAGACAGGTTAAAAAATAAAACAAAACAAAGTATCACCATAGTACCCTTTCCCAGTATGAAAAAGGTACTATGAAAAAATACTATTAGCGCAGCTTTGCTTGACTCCCTGATTTTCCTTATATATTATCATTATTTTTCCTTATATATTATCATTATTTCATGTATATTATTATATTTCAACAATGAAAGAATGTGTGGCTAGAAAGACATCTCAATGATCAAGGGTACTTGTTGCTCTTGCAAATGACCCATATTTGGTTCCCAATACTACATGGTAGCTCATAACCATGTGTAACTCTCATTCCAGGAGACCCAATACCCTCTTCTGACCTCTGCAGGTACAAGGCACACATGTAATTTATATGGACAAACATGCAGACAAAACACCCACAGCAAATAAATAAATAAATAAATAAATAAATAAATAAATAAATAAATAAATAAATTTTAAATGAAATTATGTTTTGCTCATTTGCTGATACACTTTGAGTTTTAAAACACACTATGGTCATTATTGTATTTGCAAGACATTTTGGGAAGGCTAAAGCTGATTATTTTATAATGTTTTCTTGTGTTGCCTAAAAAATAGACTCAGTATTTATAGGTGAGGACCAACACTTAGTTTCTGTTCTATATACATTATATAGTTAATAATGTATAATATCACACACTTTATTCCTTAATATGTTATATACATATGTCCAACTTGACGTGTAATGTTGTTTACCAGACATTATTTGTCTTTGCTTTTCCCCATCTTCCCTTTCCTCCTATCTGCAACTGTCTGTTTCGTAATTCCTTATGTCTGTTTTAGCTTGATGACTAATTGTTCTATTTTGTGCTTCTGTTTTGCATGTTATTTTGTCTGATACAAATGTTCTTACTACTTTTCATTTGTATTTTTCAATTGAATATTTCCCCCTTTAAATGTTTCTAGCATTATTTTTACATTCATTTCTCATGTAAGAGAAAAATATTTCAAAACTTTTTTCAAAGTTTTCAGTAATCCAAACAATATTCTACTAGATGAAGATGGACCTAAGACATGTAGAACAGTAGAGAACCCAGAGGGTGGAGAGAGGGCTCTGTTGGTAAAGTGCCTGCCTGATGCACAAGCGTGAGGACCTAAGATAGACCCCCCCCCAACATCCACATAAAAGTTGGTTGGTGCACATCTGTAACCCTTGTAACCCTTATACTGGGATGAGGGATAGAAATGGACAGATCCATGGAGCTTAATGATCAGCCAGTCTAAACAATCAATAAGCTCTGGGTTCATCAAAATACAAATCATAATGAGAAGGAAATACATGTCATTATAGGAAAGACTAATAAACCCAAACTATGTTAAAATTAAAGCCTGAATCTATTATAATAAAAAATCCACAAAGAGAAAAGGACAAGAAAAAGTCATATAAGCAAAACATTTGGATCATGTGAAGCTGATAAGAGACTATCATGATTATGATGAATCTGAATCAGTAAGTGAGGTCACTATGACATAAAAAGGTATTTCAAAGAAGAAAAAAAAAACACAAATAGCTCATAAATATATAAAAATGCATTGTACCCTTCCAGCAGTTTCTAGAAGCCAATGTGACTAAACCATGTCACATTGCTAGACAAGAATGAAATGTTGATTGTCTTAGAGCCAACATTTTTATAAAACCCTTCCGTTGGTTGCACATTTACTTGAGGTGGTGCCCTGTATCTCTGTAGCTCTGCAAGCATTCCTGTTGAAAAACCCCAAAGTTTACGTACACCGTGCTTATCTAGATCATTACCTTCTGAAGGTCATTTTTGAAAATTCAGCTATAAATATTGTGGTGCTTTGAATGAAAGTTACCTCTGTAGAGCATGCCTGAATGCTTGGTTCCCAGTTAGGAGAACTGTTTGGGAAAGATTAGGATGTGTGGCCTTGGAGAAAGTGTGTCATGGAGTAAGCTTTGAGGCTTCAAAATGCCCCTCCATGTCCAGTGTGCTTTCTCTGTCTCCTGCTTTGGGATCAAGATGTGAACCGCCTTCAGGCTTCCTTGCTACCATGCTTTTGCCCCACCCTCACGGACTCTAACCCTCCAACACTGTAAGCCCAGTTAAATGCTTTCTTTCATCAATTGCCTTTGTCATGGTATTTTGACACAGCAATTTATTTTTCATTTTTTGATCTAATCGTATTCTAAGAGTCATTTACATTCTTTTATTTTTTTGCAGTTTTGTTGTAGTATAATTGAAAAGTAAAATTACATATTCAAAATTATACACTAATGTTGATATATTAAATACATAAATAGAAGAAATAACTTTTATAACAAGTTAATTAACACTACTTCACAATTTGTATGTATGTGATGTAGTTATGGTCTCTCTCTCTCTCTCTTCCTATCTCTATGAATTTTCATTTTATTAGGGAAATCAGTGATTTCCACATTAAAATGTATTAATATAATCAAATGTAAATTATAATATTATATTGAGTTGTTACTTTATTAATTTTTGAAACATATATTTTCAATACAACACTAATTAAATAGCTTCCACTAGATAAGATGTTTCCCATAAATGCTTATGCCTGCTTTATTCTGAAAATATTTCTAATTAGATGATAATTCTAAAGCAAAAGTTACAGTATGCTCAGTCTACAGGCATCTATTTTTTTTAATGCTACTAAATTATTTTATTGTATGTCCTAAAAGTTTCAATTAGTAACAAAATAGAATTTGAAAGAAAAGTCTGTGTGGCTCATATCTTGAAATACATGGAAATATATGAAAAACACATACATCACATTCAAAGGTAATTATTCAAAATTTTCTAAAATGAATAATGAAAGTATTTATAATAAAGGAGAATTCTAGAATAAGACTGCAAATTTTTCAACTTTAAAAAATAATTTTTCTTTCTTTTTTCTTGGGGTGGGGCACAAAGGTGGGAGGGTAGACCTGGGAGGAGTGGGAAGTGAGTGGGATTGGGGTACAGTGTATAAAATTTGCAAAGAAGTAATAAAAAATATTATCCTGGGGAAAACTAATTATTACTAATATTAGCTGAAATTTAGATAACTAGGGACAGGAGCCTAGTACCTATGGTGAGACCTTTGGCGCAGCCTTGGTGCAGGGAGGAGGGACTTGGACCTGCCTCAGCTGAAAGTACCAGGCTATGCTGACTCCCCTGACGGAAGACTTTGCCTTGGAGGAGGTGGGAAGCGGGGTGACTTGGGGGGAAGGCTAGGAGTGGGAGGAGGAAGGACAGGGGAATCTGTGGTTGGTATATAAAATGAATAGAAAATCTCTTAATAAAAGAATGTAAGAACAATTTAGATAACTCTAAGATTAACCACTTTGGAGCAGAAAAGTGAGGGAGATTTGCTCCCTTACCAGGCTGTGCAGCCTCCACGTCTCTGTAGTTCAAAGCATTTCATCATTATGACAGGAAGTCTAGATGCTCCCACAAGCCCGAGGCAGCCATTTTGCATCTTTTCCCCACTGATTCTCATATGCAGTGCTTTCCCACTATTTCTGTAGAGACAGATGCAAGTTAGATAAAGTATAATGTGCAATAAGTCTATAATTTTTCTTTCCGTCCTCTTCTTTTCTTTTTCTCTTTTAATGAAAGTAGATTCTTTTCCCAAATAATATATCCTGATTACAGTTGCCCCTCCCTCTCTCCTCCCAGTTCCTCCCCACGACTCCTCCCATCGGGATCCACTCCCTCTCTGTTTCTCTTTGGGAAAGAACAGACTTCTGAGTGACAAAAACAAAGCATACTAAAAATGAAATACACAATAAGGTAAAGTAAAAGCCATCACATTGACGTGGAGCAGGACAAACCAACGGGAGGCAGAGCACTGAAGAAAAGGCACAAGGATCAGAGACCCACTGGTCCTCACAGTCAGGAGTCCCGCAGAAACACTAAGCTACTAGCTGGAATATGCATGCAGAGGACCTGGTGCAGGAGGTCCCATGTAGACCGTGTGCTTGCTGCTTCCGTCTCTGTGAGTTCATATGCATCTTGCCTATTGATTCAGAGGGCCGTGTTCTCCTGGGGTTCTCCCAACCCCTCTGGCTCTTACACTCTTCCCGCCTCTTCCTTGGGGTTCCCTGAGCTCTGAGGGGAGGGATTTGATGGAGATATCCCATTGAAAGCTGCTGTCACAGCAATTTAAAAATTACTAAGACAGAAGTGGCTCTCAGGCAGTAGGCAGTTGCTGAGGTAGACCTTTCCACACGGCATTTTGAAGGAAAATGGAAAATGTATTGGATCTTGGCCTTGGAAAATGGTTGAATGCTGTAAGCAGAGCTTAATGAGCTATCTTAGTAGAAGCTTGGAAGACTGAGATCCATGCAGACCATGGTTTCGGAGAGCAACAATCTCAACAGTTAGACTGGAAACCATTCCTGGGACATTTTGGCAAAGGATGTGTCTGCCTTCAGCATGTGTCCTGAAAACTTCCCTGAGGCGATGCTGAAAGGTAATGAACTAGTTCTTCATTGGAGGAGAATTCAAGGCACCCTATTATTGACCCTGCCCTATGGTTACTAGTCATCATTCTTGTGCAGGTCTACAATGAGAAAGAGCAGAAAACAATTCAAAATGAAAATGTAATGGCAGAGCCAAGGTCTCTACTGAAGGAGATAAGGAGATTGAAGACAGGCCTGAGGTGCCCTCAGGGCAAGACCCTACCCAGCACGCTTCCTTTCCCCTGTGAAAGGGAAAGGCCTAAGCAATTTTTCTGCTCCTAAAAAAACAACGGAAAACTGCTGCAAATGTGATTCGAGGAGCCAGGCTCCATCCACAAGCATGCAGCTGAACGTGGCAGTGTCACTTGCTTTTGATCTGGCTTTCGAGCTGTGATAGATACTTGAGTATAGGGATACAGAGTCTTACTCCGTGGTTACAGAGAACTGCTGAGGTCAGACAATGTACGACAGGGCAGTCCCTGCATGAAGGCCCTGAGAGGACACAAGACCCTGAGAGGCCAGTGTGTGGCGCCGTGAACATGAAGCCTGGATTGTGTTGGAGTCCTGACCCCTAAGATGTCAGAGGTGCCGGATCCCAGGGATATCCGCCAAAGAGGGCTGGAATGTGGGGTGAACAGCCCAAGAGAGAGGTTACCTTGCAGGAAGCACAGCTGGAATCCTGGAGCCAGTTAAGCCCTCTGACCTCAAATACAGAGCTCAGCTACAGGATTTGACTTTGCCCAGCTATACGTCTGTGTTGCTTTGGTCCAGTGGTTGAGACTGAAAAATGATAGAGACTTTTGAAGTTGGACTAAGCGCATTTTGCATTATGATATGGCCACACGTCTTTGGGGATCATGGAGCAGACAGAATGTGGTGGTTTGAATGAGAGTAGCCGGCATAGGGCATATTTGAAAATTTTGAAAACTTGGTCCCCAGTTGGTGTAACTGTTTGGGAGGTACAGCCTTGTTGGAGGAAGTGTGTCGCGGGGTGACTTGGAAACTTCAAAAGCTCAAGCCCTTCCCAGTATGCTTTCTCTGCCTCCTGCCTTCAGATCAAGATGTGAGCTCTTCCTGACACAGGACCTTTGCTTCACCATCAGGGACTCTAACCCAAAATCCAATTAAACACTTACTTTTATAAGTTGTCTTCTCCATTATGTTTTGTCACAGTGGTTTCAACGTAAGTAAGACAAATACGCAACTCTCTCTTCAGGAAGCTTTTCATAGAGTTGCTCTGAACTCCAGCTCTATTAACCACAGTCTAGCTCAAGTCAAGACTTCAACATAAAAAGCAGTCTTTAAAGTCCCCAGCTGATTGCTGCCCCCCACTAAATATCTGATTCAGTAGCCTAGGGTGGAAAGGAAGAAGTCAAAATATCCTTATTTGCAGATGATACGATTTTATATATAAAAGATCCTAATAACTCCACCAAAAAAAAACTCTACTCATAAATATATTCAGTAAAATAAGTGGATACAAAATTTAGACACAAAAATCAGTAACCTTCCTGCACACAAATGACAAGCATACATAGAAAGAAAATAGGCAAGCAATATTCAGACACCTCAAAAGATAAACTGTCTTGCAATAAATCATGAAGTCTTTATACTATCAGAACAAAGAAAGCTACAAATCAAGCATTTTTCAAATTCTTTTCTGGGACTACCAGGTAGGCAGGTTTTGGAACAGTGGGAAATCACTGCTGTAGGCCTCAGGTGCTAGCTGGCACGTTCTTAGCCATTCAGTTGATAGCACTTACAGATCCTGTCTGTACACTGGAAACTGATTGGTTTAAGAGTCACAAGACTATTGAGTTATACACAGAGGTCGACAATAAATGGCTATTTGGGGGCCAAAACAGCCCAAGGTGATTTCCCTCTGAAATTGCACATCTCCACTATCATTTGTGTTAAAATAAGTTAATCGCCCCTTGTAGAATGTATAACATGGGTGTGACTATCTTCTGGGATTTCACAAACAAAACATTAGATGTGAACAATTTACTCCATAATCCTATGGAATAAAAAGCTATTTTTAATTCTAGCAGTAGTTGTGCATACAAAATGTACTAAATACCGTAACCACAAAATTATTGTATCTGTGGAACCACAGATTTGTAGTTATTTTAGCAATATAAATCATAATAATTTTAGCAAATTTATGACTCAAAATTGTAAGAGCTGCATGATACTTATTTTATCATTAAATACACTAACAGAAACTTTGTCTTCCAGATCTTGGAGTCTCTTTTCAAGGTATGTGTTTCAATTCATTACAGCTGAAACTAAAGAGAAGAAGGCATATTAAGCAAAGATGATCTAGGTTTTAAAGTTGCAGCATTCCATGGTGGCTGCTAGATTTTTTTTTTTGTTTGTTTGTTTGTTTTTTCGAGACAGGGTTTCTCTGTGTAGCTTTGCGCCTTTCCTGGAGCTCACTTGGTAGTCCAGGCTGGCCTTGAACTCACAGAGATCCGCCTGCCTCTGCCTCCCAAGTGCTGGGATTAAAGGCGTGCGCCACCACGCCCGGCACTGCTAGATATTTTTAAGTTTCTGTTTGCATCTGTGTGTTGCCCTAGCTCCATTCTGAACCCTGTGTGATGTGTGGGTGAGTCAGGGATGGTGCTTGGCAGATACAGGTTCCTAGACACATGTGTATTAACTCTTAATTTTCCTTTTATTCCTTTATGAAGTGGTTTCAGCAACAAGTCAACCAAATGGAGGAGGTAAAGTATGAAACTTCTTAACTATTGACTACATTAGTAAGTATTTGACCCACTGGAAAATCTGTTTGAAGTTTGTATGAGGCAAATGTTTCAATAACCATTGATTATAAAGTAATATTTTGATTTAGGTTGAAAAATAATAAGTAGGTAGTAAAAATGTTCATCAGTGATTTGTGAGTTTTCTGCATGAGTCCAGGAGAGAATGGGATTTATTGGATCATTCTTTCTCCTAAAGAGTAATGAAAACTTCACTCACTTTCTTTTTTAAATTTACATAAAAGTGATAGAAATTTACCAACTTAAAATTTCTCCCCTGCTTAAAAATCATGCATGATACAAGCAGACATAAAATTATATTGGCTTTTACAAAATGCATTGTGTCCTTTAATGATATCCTTTGCATTTTAGATTTTCAAAGACTTTGAACACTGGAGTGAGAACAATTGGGCTCTGTCTTCAAGGACTTTGAATTCTCTTTTGGGAGATTGTGGATAGTCCTCTAGCATGAAAGAATAGTTTCCCAGGTAGCTTCAGGGATTGTTCAGAATTATTCTGCCGTTCTTTTGGCTGTGCTTATCATTCCCTCTAGTTAAACACTCTTAAAAAAAAAAGAGGCTTGCTATTCGGGATATAGAACTAGATGGTGAAAACAGAAAAGTGTAATCTTTACTCAGAAGCCTCTCTTCATTTTTGTTCCCTCTGGCTTGAAAGAGCCAAAGGTGTCTAAATGCTTCCCCATGCAAAATGAAAGCAAATTAACATCTGGGATTTAGTAGTTCAGTGTCGCAACTTTATCATTGTCTTTCTATAATTTATTACAGTGGAGTATTCTTAGAAAAAAATTGAGGTGAAACAATTGATTTAGAATTGTTCTTGTAAATATTTTTGAGTTGCATTTGTTGTTGTTGAGCCTTCTTAAAATTTTTATATAGCAAAATAATAAACGTCAGCTTTGACATGTAAACATCCTGAATGAACTGTAGCTCTATTTATAGTGAAGTGCCCTTCGATGCATTTGTAACTATTATACAGGTGTTTGGATATAGCTAACCATAAGATTAAATAAAAGTTATTCAGATTGATAAACGGAAATAATGAAATGCTTTTGAAGTATGAGCTCAAGTGGGTCTTTAGTAACTGGTCAATTTTGTTACTTTAGATAGGTAAAGATCAAAGCATTTTAGATGCAGATCTTCCATCAGATGACAAATTGGTCCATTCAAATATTGCGCAAATAGCAAATCTGGTACATAAATTTGAAGATCTGAAAAGTCGCCTAAGAGAACACAAGGGATCCCTGGTGTCTAAATATGTGTAAGTGCGATATAAGGATTAATTGAATTAAAATCAGTAATTAACATTGGATGTAAGCTAATTCAATGTTATTGCTTTACAAAGAACTTCTAGATGATATATGAATGTTTAGTTGCTTTTTTTTTTATTTGAAGTTTTAACAGTCTGAGATGGTATTATTCAGTGCAGTAGACATTAGCCACAGAGGCTATTCAAATTCAATTTAGTAAATGAATTGGCTTCTGGGTCATACTAAACACATTTTAAGTACTCAATAGACATATATAGCTATTATTTAAAACTTCTGTTGGATAGTACTCTCTTTAAAACATCTGGATTGTAAACATGCTTCTGAATGCTGAAATAGAATAGTTGAAATAGATTTACATCCTGTCCCTCCTTTTCCTTCCTCCAGCCTTTCCCAGGTGCCTTCCCATGCCCCCTCAAATTAATAGCCTCTTTTTCTTTATTATTATTACATACATACATATATGTATTATAAGTATGCACAAATATATCATTACAACCTGCTGAATTTGTTTTTGTTGTTTGTGTATTATGGTTTCAGGGCTGACTATTCTGCACTGTACAGCCAATAAAGAGAGCTCATCTCTGAGACAGGCTAATTTTTCTCCCAGCAGTCAATAATTGTCTGTAATTCTTTGCTAGAGGTGGGGCCCTGCAAAAAATTTCACCTTCCAATTAGCATGTTCGTTGATACTGCCACTGTTATCCAGGATTATTTATGCAGCCATTTCTAGGAGAGATTGTTTCACAGTGCACTTTCTGATATTTTGGCTCTTACAATCTTTCCACCCCCTTTTCTGAGATGCTCTCTGAAAAATAGATTTAGAATGTAGTTGGGTATTATGCAGGTTTAGCAAATTAGTGATGGTAGATTCTTTTTTAAGGTCTGTTATCTCACTAGCTGTGTTGCTAATATTAGACATAATTTTCTTTCTATTGAATGGGCCTTATGTCCAGTTACACAGTTGCTGGTTACCAACATGTGAATGCCACCATTGCATCTTTATGCACATCTTGCCATGTTGTTCACTGTCAGAGTTCAACTGGATAGGACTCTTTAATTGCTTCCCTTGCTTGGCAGCTTGCAAAGTATCTTCTGGTACTATGGAAACTAGACTGCAGGAAGGAAGCTTTCAGATCAGATAGAGCTCAAATCATGAGTCCTGTGTCTGAAGTATGCAGCTTCTTCAACAATAGGGTTCTCCCTTCAACCTCCAAGAAGCAACCAAGGTCTATAGATAGTCTAATATTGTTTTAGGAGTCACTCAAGATACCCGATTCAACCATTCAATAGGTGGTTTCTCACTCTTGGGTCTCTCTTAGTTTTTGGGTTTTGAGGGGATCATTGTCACCTAATTGGCATAACTTCCTGTTAGGTAGATTGGTAGGTAGGTAAAAAGATAGATAAATAGATAGATAGACATACATACATACATACATACATACATACATACATACATACATGCATAGATACACACATACATAGATACATAGGTACATAGATAGATACATAGATACATAAATAGATACATAGACAGACAGCTATACACTTATATGTATTGTGTATAATTTTAGGTAAATATGGAACAATAGGGTTTCTTGAGGCTTTTTCTAGAAATCTTGGTGTTATCTGTCCCTCCTCTGTCTCTCACCTACTGTCTTGACCTCCCTCCCCTCCTCTCTAGTTGAACCCCCTCCATGTTTTTTCATTTCCCATTGCATATCACCTGTATCCTGCTATTCCTTCTCACGCTCCTCCCCCATGCCTATGGTCCCTGTATACTTTCGTAGTTTTAGTCTTTAGTCATTACTCCATGTTTTGTGCTCACATCTGAGGATTTGGATCTAGAAACCACAGATGAGAGAGAATCTTGTGTTTCTGGGTCTTGCATATCTGAATTTGATCAAGTGAATCCTAGTAGCAAATTCAATGTTTGCTTAAAAATTTTAAAACCAGGTTTAGAACTGTACTCTCAACCACTTTTCATCAAGAATATATAAAGCACTTTCATATTGTGAAAAGAAAAACTCATAGTTGGGAGAGGATAATACTCAGCATGCAATCTCTTCATGTGCTTTTCTATGAACTGTTATTACGTCGGTGCTGTAAGAAGGCTTCTGTACATTTTTGAGTTGTTTGTTGTCAAGAATATTTTTGAATGTATATTAGTGTTTACATTTGACATTTAAATGTCTTCTGTGCACAAGGTATTTTTCTCGTTATCACCTGGAAGCCTCGTAACTACTTTATGAGAAAGGTATTAGTGTATATAAGTTTTAACAGATAAAGAATCTAGAGAGAGACACACAGCAGCTAGCTCCAGGCCACATAGTTACAGGTTTGGAGAGGGTTGTCTCACTCTCAGGCTGCTCTTAGCACCACAGTGGATGATAATTAGCAAAAAGACATCTCCAGTTTCTACAGACTTGTTTTTGTTATTTTGGTTCTAAATGTTACTGGTGTATTTAATTGTATCCTGTATAATTCACAGAATTTGGCCTTTATAATATAGGATAGTTTTACTGTTCATTTATCTAAGTAACTATGAATGAAGGATAATTGATAGGTTAACTTTTATTCCACCAACCTCATTTGTCTAGTCTGTAAAGTATAGTTCCTTGGGCATGTAACTTATATGAAGATATGTTTTATTTATTGGCACTCTTAACAGTGATAAAGAGACTCCATCAGTTTCAGTGAAAACTTATGAAGGTGTAGAGAAGCAAATTGAAGGTAATATATTATAAATGCTTAAGCTTTATATAGTTCCCTAACTATATTAGCACTTCGATATTTAAAACTTAATTTTTACAATTTAAAAAATTACACAGTGGAGATCTCATCTATTTCTCCTTCCTAGGATGGTCCATGTGTCTGGGTCTTCCCTGTTAATTAGCTTCTCTGGAGTTGTGGGTTGTTGTAGTGGGTAGCCATTCCAGCTTTGCCGGATTATCCTTTGCTTTATATCTAGTATCCACTTATGAGTGGGTACATACCATGTGTGTCCTTCTGAATCTGGAGCCCACTACCTATGATGGGACACCTCGTGCATCCTTGAGGCAGGGGGAAGGGCTTGGACTTGCTTCTGCTGGATGTGCCTCCCCATGGGAGGCCTTCTCTTCTTGTGGTTGGGAATGGGAGGTCGGTTGAGAGGGGAAGGCTGGGGGAGGGGCAGGAGGAGGGGAGAGGGGGATCTTTGGTGTGTAAAATGAATGAAAAAAATTTCTTAATAAAAAAATTAGGATTTTAAAAATTATACAGTGGTGAACTGAAGACACTGTTCAATAGGGAGTTTGATATTTCAATACAAGTTTTATTATAGTTTGGATTTGGGGAACTTAAAAGATTAATGCCAAGCTAAAGAGATGGCTCAGCAATTAAGAGCACTGGCTGCTTTTCCAGAAGACCCAAGTTTGATTCCCACATCCCCATGGCAGCTCACACCTGTCTGTAACTCCAGTTACAGAGGATCTGATTCTCTCCTCTGGTGTCTGCAGACATTGCACACATATGGTGCAGATACATGTATGCAGGCAGAACACTCAAACACATAAAGTAAAAAGTAAATACTCTTCAAGATGAATGCTATTATGATTTGGCTGTTGTTCCCCTGAAGTTGTTTTGTCTCCTGCTTGGGAAAAATCATTAAAATTAAAAATTTAGACTGTGAACTCAATTAGTGCATAGGATTGCTATATAAAATGTATGGGGTCACTGGCAGCAGGACCAGGATTTGGAGCCCATTACCTATGGAGGGGTACCTTGCTCAGCCTTGATACAGGGGGAGGGGCTTGGTCCTGCCTCAACTTGATATTCCAGGCTTTGTTGACTCTGAGGAGTGGATAGAGTTCGGGGTAGGGGAAAAGTGGGAGGTGAGTGAGAGGAAGGGAGGGAAGGGAAACTGTGGTTGATATGTAAAATGAAAAAAAAAGGAGCTTTTAAGTAAACAAACAAATGTGTAATGGCAGATACTTGTATCTATTTCAGACTTCATAAAATCCCACTCAAATTTTGAATCTCAAGTTGATTCTGAAACTGAGCCAGGTAAGTAACCATTCATTTAAACATCATCATATTAACGCCTCCTAAAGGCTCCATAACCTTCCCAGTTACCACCACCCACTGGGGACAAAGTGTTCATGTACATGGACCTGTGGGGAACATTCTCATCCACAACACCATAGTAAGAAACCTCTGTATGCTTTCTGCTTTCAAGGTTTTGTCTGTTTGTTTGCTTGCTTGTTCTTAAGAAAGGGTCTCATGTATCCCAGGTTGGCCTCAAACAACAGCTCAGCAGCCTGGAAGCTCTTTCTCTTGTCTGTGCACAAGCGATCATTGCAGGAGTCTTGGCAAGTACCTGCACTGGGACCTGTTGAGATTTTTAGTATCAAAGACTGTTTAGGACTCTCATGTGTGTGTGTGTGTGTGTGTGTGTGTGTGTGTGTGTGTGTGTGTGTGTGTGTGTGTGTTTCACACCAAGGGAATCTGTTTCAGATAGCTAGTGGTGGTGACCCATATAGCTTTGCCATAGGGGACATAATGATGACCATATTGGCCATAATGATGGTAGCGCCAGCACTGAGTTATGTCACCTATGGGATGTGCATGGGTTCAGGTTCTGTACCACAAGTGGGCACGGGCTAGCAGTGACTGTGAGGTCTGCATGCTGCTGTCTCCTGAGCTACTGCTTCCTCAGCAACCTCAGGGGAGATGTTGCATCTGCAGCTCTGGTGTCTGCATTGCTGGGGCTTTCAGACTGCAGCTGCGCCTTGGGCTGTGTAAACTTATGTGCTCTGGTAGTGGCTTATATGGTTGAGTCCTGGGCACACAGAAGACTAAAGATTGGGTTGCAGTGCTGTGTGCACATTGTGCAGTTCTGGGGTCCTGGGGACTTCTCAGATGCAGGGACGGTTTTCCTAGCTGCTTGTATGGGAGGGAGAGAAGTCTGGTGTGATTTCCATCTTTTATCTCTATACAAGGTTATTTTGGTCCCTTTGGCTTCTTTAGATTTTTCTCTTCATCTTTGATATTTATGAAGTCTGAATAGTATGAAATGTTTCAATTGTTTATGCTTTTTAGCTTCAGGCCAGCCAGATGGCTCAGCAGGTAAAAGCGCTTACTGCACAAGGGATGAGTTGGGTGATGAGTTGGTGTGTGATGAGTTAAGTCAGGACCCATGCCGGAGTGGGAGAACACAGAATCCCCACTGAGCCCTGTCACAGCCACCCCACATACACATCATGCACAACTATACAGTGATAACAAAAATGTTAAATGTTTAAAAAAAAATACCGTCTCATCAATCTTGAATACTCAATTGCATTTTTGCCTCATTAGTTTCTCCATTTGGGGAGTTTCCAATGAGTTTCATGCTCAGTGACTTTTTTCAAGCAAGCTGTTTTAATGGTTTGCAAAATACCCTTAAGAATTATCTAAAAATGTGTAGGTTGTTTTCCAAAGGATTCCAAGTATTTAATCACATATTTTTTTGTCCTGACAGTAGCTGTATAGAGTAGGCATATTTATTAGACAACAATAGACTATTGTCTGGTTATTATGATGATTAAAAGAGCCCACACAGATTAGAACACATTGATTGGCACAATGCAAGTGCTTCTAAAAGAGTAACGGTGATGATTCTGTATTATTTATTTTTATTTACTGCCTGTACCAATCACAAAACATTCTTTGTTACAGTATTATAGAGCTTTAGCATTTCCTTTCACTTATTTATTAGAGTTTTTGCTTATATTGCCCATCTGCTCTTATATGTAGCCAGTTTTTTCCTAAGTAATAAATACTTTAATTAGTTGTTTAAAATTCCTGCCTGATAACTTAAAAACACCTGCTGTATCTGAATTCTGTGCTCATAATTACTTGTCTCTTCAGACTGTGTTTTTTGCCTCTGAATATACCTTATATTATAACTATTTCCTGTTGGAAGCCAGAGACAATATAGAGGGTAAAATAAAATAAGGTCAATGTGGTTGAAAGTACCATGTCACCTCCTTATGCTTGTTTAGTTCCCCATCTATGTCACTGAATTGTATGATCATATAAGTGCAGCCATTATAATACCTTTATATTTTTTGTAATAGAAGCTCCTTATTCAGTGACTGATCGGATGAATGTGATGATGAACATATTTAAAAATCAGACAAATATGTTAGAGAGGTAAGCTTTGAAAATAATTATTTCTTATTTTCTAGTTATAAAATTCAATTCATAGAATAGAAACATTGGGAGTATAGATAAGAAATAAGGCTGTCATCAAAAGCTGACCTCTTAAATGTATGTATTTATCTGTGTATATATGTGTGTATGTATGTATATGTGTATATATATGATTTTAATTATCACATGTATAATTTTAAATTTTTAAATTACAAATACACAGGTTATAAATATATGCTTTGGAAAAAACTATGCTGATTCCTCAAAAAAAAGTAAAAATGAAACATTATCCAACAATCCATTTCTGAGAATATACTTAAAAAATGTCAGTGAGGTCTCGAAAAGACACATATACACATCTTTTCTTCAGTACTGTTTATAACATCAAAACACAAATTTCCAACAATGGGTGGCTAGAGAAACAAAATGTGGCACAGTGGATCATTTGTCTTAAAAGAAATATGGACAGATATGACAATGTAAATAAAACATGGGGACATTATGCTAAATCAAATAAGCCAGCCACAAAAAGACAAAAAGTATGTGGTTTCCCTTACATGAGATACCTAGAGTAGTCAGATTCACAGGATGTAAAGCAATGATTGTCAAGGAATGAGGAGAAGGGTAAGAAACAATTACTCTAATACATACAGAGCTTCACAGCTTTCCCCCGACCACTGTGGCCTGTTCGTTGGTGTCCTCCGGTTCACTTCACGTTTTGGCAGTTGTGTTGGTGAAACTTCCCAGGTGTAGCTTCTGATGTTATCAAGTGATATGACCTCACAGAAAACTCCCTGATCCTCTGGCTCTTACAATCTGTCTACACCCTCTTCCCAAACATTCCCTGAGTCTTAGCTTTTAGAGTGTTTTGTAGAGGTAGCCATTGGGACTGGGATTCACAACTCTGCATTTTGATTGGTTGTGGTTTTCTGTTGTGATCTCTGTCTGTTGCAAAGAGAAATTTCCTTGATGAGGGGTGAAGACTACACTTATCTGCTGTATAAATACAAATGTTTATTCTTTCTTATAAAGGACCGGGTTGCCTTAGTAAATTAGTGATTATAAATTCTCCTACAGTCACCATGATTTCACTAGCACTAAGTATTTAGCTAGTTTTCCAGTGCTCGGTATGGTTTCCCTCATATTGAGTGGGTCTTAAGTCCAATTAGAGAACCATTGGTTATCAACAAGAGACCCTATGCCACTACTTCATCCTGTTGTGCTGGCCAGTAATGTGGTTATTAGACATCATAGTGGAGTGGGACTATTGGTTGCTTCTCTCCTTTGGAAGCACATGATTCCTCTTGTTACCATGAAAGCTAGTCCTCAGGGAGAGGCCATTCAGGTCAGTCCATCTCAGGGGTCTCTGAGCCTTGTTTCAAAGTGCATAGTATCCTCGGCAATAGGAACTTACCTTCTACCTCTGAGGAACAGCCAAGGACAACAGCAATAGGTTACATGTTTGGGGAGGCCCTTAGCCCTGGCCAACAACTCAAAAGAAGACTTCTTGTGTCTGGTACAGGGGTTTCTGTTAGGTGGTCTTTGGCTCTTGGAGGAAGCACCATCAGTCCAGATGAGAAAAGTTTATGGGAACTGTGTATGTATATTTACACACTATATTGCATGCACTATAGGTTTTTAAAGTAAATGGTTAATAGTGTGTTTCCTCGTGGTGTTTTCAGCATTGTTATTTTATATACCTACCTTCATCTACTGTATTCATCTCCCTCCCTCTTCCACAAGGCTTTTCCTCTATCAAATCACTTACATTTGACCATTCATGTTTTACCTTCCGCCCACGTTCTTCTGTAGTTATTTCCCTCCTCCCGCCTCAGGAGCCCCCTTTGCCCACGTCCATTATCAGATCACTGTATCCTCCCACCCCCCTTTACCCTCTTCCCACCTTCTCCTGGACATACCATTCGTCAGTTGTAGGACATGTAGGTTTTTTCTGTCTCCTAGCTATTGTGAATACAGAAGCAATGAACATGGCTGAGCAAATATCTGTGAAGTATGGATACAGAGTCTTTTGGGCACATGTCAAGGAGTGGTGTGGTTGGGTCATATGTAGATGTATGTTTAGCATTTTGAGACTTTTCCACACTGATTTCCATAGGGGCAATCCTACCAACAGTGAATGAGGGTTGCCCCACCCCTCTGGCATCCCCTCTGGCATTTGTTGTCTGTTGTTCCATTGATCTTTGTCTTCTGACTCAGGGAAGATGAAATATCAAAGTTTGTTTGATTTGCATTTCCTTAATTGCTAGGGATTATGAGCACTTTGGGAGATGTTTCTAGCCATTTTAATAATTATGACTTTGTATCTCTAGCTATATGCTGCTGTACTCATTCCTTTCTTCAGCCCAAAATAATGCTTCCCGTATTTTCCTTAGGCTTGTTGTGTTGTTTATAATAGTTTTATTAAAACTATAGTTTTCCCTCCCTCCTTTCCTCCTGTTCCCTCCCCCACTTCTCTTCTACACCCCTTCCCCAAACACTCCTCCTCTGTCTCCATTCAGAAAGGGTAAGGTCTCTCATGAGAGTCAATGGCACATGGCATATCAAGTTGAGGCAGGACCAAGCTCCTCTCCCCTGCATCAAGGCTGAACAAAGCATCGCACCATAGGGAATAGGTTTCAAAAAGACAACTCATGAACCAGGGACAGGTCCTAGTCCCACTGCTAGGGGTCCCACAACAGACCAAACTACACAGCTGTTAGAGAGGGTCTAGGTTGGTCCCATGAGGCTCCCTAGCTGTCAGTCTAGAGTCTGTGAGCTCCCACTAGCTTAGGTTAGTTGTCTCTGTGGGTTTCCCCATCGTGATCTTGAACTTCCTTGCTCATATAATTCCCTCCTCCCTCTCTTCAACTGGACTCCCAGAGCTCAGCCTTGTGCTTAGCTTTGTATCTCTGCATCTTCTTCCATCAGTTACTGGATGAAGGTTCTATGATGACAATTAGGGTAGTCACCACTCTGATTACCTGAGAAAGCCAGCTCAGGCATCCTCTCCACTATTGTTAGGAGTCTTAACTTGGTTCATCCTTGTGGATTCCTGGGAGTTTCCCTGGCACCAGGTTTCTCACTTACCCCATAATGGCCCCCTCTATCATGATATCTCTTTCATTGCTCTCCCTCTCCATCCCTCCCTTAACTTGACCATCCTGATCCCTCATGTTCCCATCCCCCATCTACCCCCTTCTACTCCCCTCTCCCACCCCCAATTTACCCAGGAGATCTCATCTATTTTCCCTTCCCAAGCAGATCCACGTGTCCCTCTTAGGGTCCTCCTCGTTACCTAGCTTCTCTGGGGGCTGTAGATTGTAGCCTGGTTATCCTTTGCTTTACATCTAATATCCACTTTTGAATGAGTATATACCGTGTTTGTCTTTCTGGGTCTGAGTTACCTCACTTGGGATGTTTTTTTTTTCCTAGTTCCATCCATTTGCCTGCAAATTTTATGCTGTCATTGTTTTTTACTGCTGAGTAATACTCCATTGTGTAAATGTACTACATTTTCTTTATCTATTCTTCAATTGAAGGGGATCTAGATTGTTTTCAGATTCTGGTTATTATTAATAATGTTGCTATGAACATAATTGAGCAAGTGTCCTTGTGTTATAATTGAGCACCCTTTGGGTATATGCCCAAGAGTAGTATTACTGGGTCTTGAGGTATATTGATTCCCAATTTTCTGAGAAACTGCCATACTAATTTCCAAAGTGGCTATACAAGTTTGCATTCCTACCAGCAGTGGAGGAGTGTTCCCCTTACTCTACATCCTCTCCAACATAGGCTGTTATTAGAGTTTTTGATCTTAGCCATTCTGACAGGTGTAAGATGGTATCTCAGAGTCATTTTGATTTGTATTTCTCTGATGGCTAAGGATGCTAAGCAGTTCCTTTAATGTGTTTCGGCCATTTGTGATTCTTCTGTTGAGAATTCTCTGATTAGATCTGTACCCCATTTTTTAATTGGATTATTTGGTATTTTGATGTCTAGTTTCTTGAGTTCTTTATATGTTTTGTATATCAGCCTTTTGTCAGATGTGAGGTTGGTGAAGATCTTTTCCCATTCTGTAGACTGCCGTTTTGTCTTTTTGACATTGTCCTTTGCCTGAAAGAAGCTTTTCCGTTTCAGAAGGCCCCATTTATTAATTATCGATCTCAGTATCTATGCTACTGGTGTTATATTCAGGAAGTGGTCTACTGTGTCAATGCGTTCAAGACTACTTCCCACTTTCTCTTCTATCAGGTTCAGTATAACTGGATTTATTTTGAGGTCTTTGATCCTCCTGGACTTGAGTTTTGTGCAGGGCAATAGATATGGATCTATTTGCATTCTTCTACATGCCGACATCCAGTTATGCCAGCACCATTTGTTGAACTTGCTTTCTTTTTTCCATTGCACAATTTGGATTCTCTGTCAAAAATCAGGTGCATGGATTTATGTCAGGATCTTCCATTCGATTCCATTGATCCACATGTCTGTTTTTATTACTATAGTTCCATAGTAGAGCTTGTAGTCAGGTTGGTGATACCTCCAGAAGTTCCTTTACTTTACAGGGTTGTTTTAGTTATCCTGGATTTTTTTTTTCATATGAAGTTGAGTATTGTTCTTTCAAGGTCTGTGAAGAATTGTGTTGAGTATCAGGGTAACTATAGCCTCATAAAAAGAGTTTGGCAATGTTCTTTCTGTTTATATTATGTGAAACTATTGAGGAGTATTGGTATTGGCTCTTCTTTGAAATCCTGGTGGAATTCTGCACTGAAACCATCTGACGGGGACGTTTTTTTGGTTGGGAGACTTTTAATGACAGCTTCTATTTCCTTAGGGATTATAGGTCTATTTAAATTATTTATCTGGTCTTAATTTAATTTTGGTATGTGATATCTATCCAGACAATTGTTCATTAATTTAAATTTTCCAATTTTATGGAGTACAGGTTTTTGAAGTATGGCCTAATGATTCTCTGGATTTCCTCAGTGTCTGTTGTTATGTCC